AGATCCAGGAGTTGATACTTAATAGATCCCCCAAAACTGCTCATTATTCAAATGTATTAAATGGGATGATGTTCCTGTGTATACATGATAGATGCAAGCTAAACTTGGAACAGGAAGCTAGATCTTTTTCTGTGTCAGTCTATGTATCCTTTTAAATGACATGGTAAGTTTTAATTGCTTCCACAAGTTTTCTATAGTAGATGGTTAACTTTTATAAATGTGAGTGTTAATTTCTTCAATGTTTAATAGTTGTTGGGAGGTTTTTAGTCTTTATTACCTTTTTGTGATTTCCCTGTCCATTCTACCCATCCTTAACTCCCTCTATTTTGCTTTTTAAAACTGAATTGATGTTGTCTCTATTTCTATTCTGACTATGCTTCCTGGCTCAGATCCTGTGATGTTATTAATGGTGTTTTTATCTGATTGTTGAAGAGTCGCACAATCTTCCACCCTGTTCACACAGACTATTTCCATCTCATACTAACAACTTGCTATGTAACACCTTATAGACAACATCCAAGCCTAGCATCTATTGTAAATTCTGGCTCTGTGTAAATAAAAAAAAAAAAAAAAAAAATTCAAGCATCTCAATATATTTCTTCTAAATGTTAATTTATGCACAGAGTAAATTTTTGCCTTTATAGCAAACTAATTTCAATGTGTCGCTAGTGAACTCCAGAATGCTTCACCAGCTATCCTGACCTGAATGGCCTGTACAGAGAACTGTTAACATGAAGAGAAGCAGGAACAAATAAAAGGAGACCTGACTGGCTGAGCATTTCCAGTATTTTCTGTTTTTATTCCAGATTTCCAGCATCTGTAGTATTTTGTATTGCATTAGTATAAACACTTTTTTGATCTCCATCAATGCTGAACACTTATACCTGAGTAGTTGCATACTGTCTGAGTAACAATATTGTCTTAATTGTTTGTATTCTTCTTGTAACAGTCTCCAAAGGTCTTGGATTCACTGGTTAATTTTTTCTTCAGGCGTCAAGTAGATCCAGTATGGTCTAGTGTTTGGCATTGACTGAAATTTGCTGAATTTACTCTGACAAATAGTTTGGCTCCTATGCCTTAATTAAAGAATTTCCTCATTTCCGTCCAGGCTGTTGAAGCTGGTACAAGCATCTACTTATAATAGGAAATTAGTATCTGTTTACACCTTCTGTCCACCTATTGATGGGCAGAATTTCTAGAAATAGTTAACTGTTTTAATAATGTAAATATGCACTTTGAAAGCCTATAGATCATGTGGAACTGAAACATGCAGTGCTCATGTGTGATTTAATTGTCAACATTTGTCGACAGTATGTACTTCCAAATAAATTTAGATCTGTCTGAAGATGGGTGATGAGGTTAACCTTTCCCCACTACAGCTGAGAGATAGTAAGAACTGTGGATGCTGCAGTCAGAGACAACACAGTGTAGACCTGGAGGAACGCAGTAGGCCAGGCAGCATCAGAAGAGCAGGGAAGTTGACGTTTCGAGTCGGGACCCATCTTCAGAAATGGGGAGGGGGAAGGGAGCTGGGAAATAAATACAGGGAGGAAGGAGGGGTCAGGGAAGGTAGGTGGGATGGTGATAGGTGAGTGCAGGTGGGGAGTGGTTGGGATTGGTCAGTGAGGTGGGAGGAGCGGATAGGTCGGAGAGAAGATGTACTGGTTGTGTCAGGTCAAGGAGGTAGGGTTGTTCATGGCATGAGACCAGGGATGGGGAGATCTTGAAACTGGTAAAATCCACATTTAGGCCATCGGGCTGTCGGCTCCCGAGGTGGAATATGAGGTGCTGCTCTTCCAGTTTGCGGGTGGTGTCATTGTGGTGTCACTGGAGGAGGCCCAGGATGGACATGTCATCCAGGGAGTGGGAGGAGGAGTTAAAATGGTTCGTGACTGGAAGGTGTTGTTGATGCTCTACAAAATGGTCTCCAAGCCTCCGCTTCGTCTCACCAATGGAGAGGAGGCTGCATCGGGAGCAGTGGATGCAGTAGACCAAGTTGATGGACATGCAGGTGAACCCCTGTCTAATGTGGAAGGTTTGTTTTGTGCCTTGAATGGAAGTGAGGGAGGAGGTGTAGGGGCAGGTGTAGCACTTCCTACGGTTGCAGAGAATTATGCTGGGGGTGGTGGGGTTAGTGGGGAGTATGGAGCAGATGAGGGAGTCGCAGAGAGTGGTCCCTACGAAAGGCAGATGGGGTGTGGTAGTTGTGGGGTCGGATTGTAGGCGGCGGAAGTGGCGGAGAATGATACATTGGATGCGGAGGTTAGTGGGGTGGTATGTGAGGACAAGGGGGATTCTGTTTTTATTTTTCTTGGAGGGAGGGGATGTGAGGGCAGAGGTGCAGGAAATACAAGAGATGTGGTTGAGGGCATTTTCAATCACTGGAGGGGGGAAGTTGTGGTCCTTGAAATAGGAGGACATCTGGGATGTCCGGGAGTGGAATGCCCGATCTTGGGAACAGATGCGGTGGAGGTACTGTAGCTAACTTGTGTTTCTATCCATTCTGATTTGGAGGTGATGCCAGCAGGGAGAGTCTTGGGAGTCACAAAGATTTTAGCTGCTGCATGAAAAGCTGTAGGCTAGAAAGGACAGCGCTGAAGCAGACAATTCAGATCAGGTAGTGTTAGTGCTTATCTTCCATCTTTTTAGTTGGAAGTATATCAAATGGGTGCATAGGTGACTGGGAAGAAGAAAAGTTTGTTGAGACCTTCATTATTTTATTTTTACTTTTCTCATTTATGGTTTAAAATTGAGGTGAAGTTGAGCTTTGACCTCTGAGCAGTAGCGAGTTTTGGACAGGAAGAGAGAACAAGCAAACTGATGTTTTTTTTACAGGAATTGGCTTGGAGAGATAATTGCAAATTGATTGCTAATCCCAGAACACTACAGACTTTTCAGCACAAGATGTATTGCTCAGGGACTGGCATTCGGATGTTGAATGGGCCAGTCAAGGACAGAGCAATGCTAGCCAGCCAATCACAGAGATTGTTTATAAAAAGGAAAAACTATAGTTTGAACTAGTTTAGTCTCGGGTTTTGGGTAGAAGGGTCTGTGTGTGGAAGATGTTGGACTGAAAGTTATTTGGATTTTTACCCTTTTGTTTTATATACAGAATTAAAGAATTTTTGAAGGTTTTCAGGAAAGAACCCCAATCTATAAGACATAAGTAAAAATCTCCATCAGTCTTCAGGCATTGTTTGCATGAATCGGTGACTTTATAATTCAAGCATGATACAGTCCTACGTGCCTAGAATCTAATACGTCATTCAAGGATTTTGAAAGGCATTGTACCATCATGAAACCATTGAATTGGCAAATTGCAATTCTTCATTTTTCTTTCAATTTATCCCTTAACTATGTCCATCTGTCTATCTGTTTATGTATGAGTGGAGGTGGTGTTTAAATGAGATTGGGCTTTGATCATAGATATTAAGTAGATTGCCTTGTTGTTTGTCAATGTTCTGCTAAAGTTACATCATTAACAAGAAATTGTTAAGTTTTTTTGTTTAAGTATAAATTTGGTGTCTGATACCTATTATTTGTAAAGTCTGGTTAGGAGCAATTAGATGATTTTGAATGTTTTAGTTTTACTTCGTTGCAAATTCAAGGATAGGGGAACTGATTTGGTTTGGACTGCTGTTGTACAATCCTGAACAGGTAGGATATTTCTGCATCTGTGGAAAAAAAAGTCATGAATCTACTGTCAGATCAAGAAAATAATGTGTGACCCTTGATAAATGATTGTCTTTTCATCCTCTTTACTTTGCACCATAGCTAACTCACTGTGAAGCAGAAATGTAAGTTCCTAAGGTTTTGGAGTAGATTTGTTGCTCAGGTTGTGGGTGTTGAGGTTGGTTGGCTCACTGAGCTGGCTTGTTGTTCCGTAGACATTTCATTACCATGCTGGGTGACATCACCAGTGCAGCCTCCGATGAAGTGTCGGTGTGTTTTCCCGCCTGGTTTTTAAATTCTGGAGTCTGTTGAGCTAGATTGCCTCACTTCCGGTTTTCCTTCGTAGTGGAGTGTATATGGGGTCGAAAGGGTACATGAACACCAACTGGCTACAAAAAGACAAGACCAATACTCTCACATCTCAATCCACATGGATAAGGAGAACCACCAATTCGACTGGGACAACACCAAAATCCTGGGACAAGCTAAGCAGAGACAGGCACGGGAACTCCTAGAAGCCTGGTACTCCACGAAGAAAGCCATTAAGAAACACATAGAACTCGACCCCATATACACTCCACTACGAAGGAAAACCGGAAGTGAGGCAATCCAGCTCAATGGACTCCAGAGTTTAAAAACCAGGTGGGAAAACACACTAACACTTCATCGGAGGCTGCACTGAGGATATCACCCAGCATGGTAATGAAACGTCTGCGATACAAGAAACCAGCTCGGTGAGCCAACCAACCTCAAGAAATAACAAGGTGTAGAGCTGGATGAACACAGCAGGCCAAGCACCATCATAGGAGCAGGAAGACTGACGTTTCGGGCCTAGACCCTTCATCAGAAAACTCACATTATAACAATCCAGGTACTACAGAAAATTCTGCCAAACAGACAGAGCAGTTTCTCATTCATTTTCTTTATTTTGGTTGTTTTTGCAATTATGCTATTGGGTTGTTTCAACATTCTCCGTGTATTCAAGGTATTCATGTTGCTACCTGGGCGCAAAGTCAGGCCTTCCTTGAGAATGAGGCTGTAATGCAACAGAGCTGGTGGCACAGGTGATCACAAAACACCAGAATCATGATTTTCTTCAAAGGAATTAAAATAATTTCTGCAGAGGTAGAGGTTCAACTTGTGTCAAAGGTATCAAAGACTGTGCATATGCACCCACTATTTTAAAAATTAAGAAAGAAAAGCCTCTTTCATTCACATTTCTACACGTAAACTTCAGTATTATTAAACAGTGCCGGAGTGACATATTTTGACAACAGAATACCTCACAAAAGTATATATTTTTCAAAACAAATGTTTTCTTTTTGCAGAGCAAAAATTGCTTAGAGCTTGGTCCTCCAGCAGAGGGAGAAGTTATCCAGGTGAGATGGACTGATGGACTGCTCTATGGAGCCAAATTTGTAGCATCAAACATTATTTACATGTACCAGGTAAGATGTTTGATATAGTTTGTGTTGGAATAATATTTTAACTGTTGGCATTTTAATGAACACATGCATTTGAATTTAATAGTAGTATGATCTCTGTTCCTCTTCTTCCTTCTTCATTTAACTAGGACAAAGGCAGTAAACTGAATGTGTGCAGTGCAGTTGTAGAATAATTTGTTTCTCCCTCTTAAAAATGAATTATTGTAAATACCATAAAGATGTCTTGGATAGTTCCATGAATTTTTTTTTTTCATTTTAAGCTGGTTAATTTCTGATTTGCAAAATCCACTGATTGTGCACAATGAACCAACTATGTCTTTGGGAAAGTATGTAAATGGATGGTGAAGTGCTGATGGCTATAGAATTCTTCTGTCATGGTTAAGACACAATGTAAAGTCAAAAAGTACTTAGCCTATTGAGGTGGCTGTTATGTTGTGTGTAAATGTAGCATTCAGTTTGCACAGAGCATAGTCTTGCAGACACCAATGAAAGTAATGACTATTTACACTGTTTCTGGTGCAAATTTATTGCAAAGTAAATATATTCTGGCCCTGCTCCTCTTTAGTGCAGTGGGATCTTTTTGTCAAAATGAGTGGTGGATGGGTCTAAGAGTTCACCACTTGCTGGAAAAAAACTATCAACAAGACACAGTGTACTGAAAGATCAATCTAGGTTACCTGTTCAAATCACGGCTCAGAGGCATAAGTTGCTACTGAGGCAAGATTCAACAATTTTCTCTCATTTTGGAGTTTGGAGCAGGAAGTATTTTCTGGCCTGTCATTTCTCTTCTTTCTGGCCAATCCAAATGGTAATAAAGTTGCTATATAACAAGCCACAAACCTCCACTGATTGAATCTGAAGGTGCCACTGTCATTGGCTGTTGATGGATATTGCTCCAAGGAAACATAATGCAGGGCAGAGATTTAGGCCAGAACACACATTAACATGTTGGCAACTCTTTTGCTATGGCTAACTGACTGTATGATCATTTCATGAAAAGTTTAGATTTCACCTCTCCCTGGGGAGATTTTGATTCTGCCTCCATGACCTGGCATCCAGTAACGTTTTGGCACAAAATGTATACTGGCTTTCAGTGTTAGTTTTAGCAGTAGTTTTTCCTGATAGTCATATGATATTTTGTTCATGCCAATCCATGATGTTGCCAACAGGCACAACAGCTGCTGCTTTTTTTTTTAAATGGGTCATCTCATTGAAGCCTGACAAAGAATTTTTCATTCCATTTTGAGATGGAATGTTGCAATTCTTTCAACATTTTGTCATTTAGTAGATGTTTCAGACAGTAATATTATTCTGCCAATATGTTGGACATGTCTTCAACTTATTGTGCTCTCTCTGGCTCTCTGTCTTGTTCACTCGCAGTTTTAATTTTGCTCAGGATTAAATTGCCCAGTTTGTATTGTCCTCTCTGTTTGTTTGAATACATAATGGCATCAATCATCCAATTGTTGCAGCACTGTCTGCTCATATCCCTCCTATAATGTGACAGTGAAAGGTAGGTGAGGTTAAGCTTTTAAGTTTTTTTTTCTATGGGAAGAACTTGATAAATACCTAGCATCTCACCTGACAGATGTAAGGTGGGTATTGTTGGCACAATGCCTTGCTGGACCAAAGCCCTATAGAACTGAAAATACATTCTCCTTTCAATCATATTTGCATCAAGTAATTCCTTGCTTTATTCCTGATTCAAATTTTCATAAACTGAGTTTAGAGCTATATTGGAGAGTGATTTTAAAGAGGAGTCTGAGACCTGTGTTCAGGAGCACAAATCAACCTTTATTTAGAGCTTTATTCCAATCCTGTGAATACACAATCAATGGTGGACAACTTCATGATCAACCTTGGTTCTCGCATCGTCTGTGATGTTTGCCAGACCCCCGATCACCTGACCTTGTGCTCTTACAAGACATCTAATGGACCACATTTGTTATTCCCTTCCTAGACATTTGCCAGCTGTTTGTTGGTACCTTTATCAAGGTTCTCCAAGCATGTTTATCGAATCCAGTGTTTGTATCCAAGACTGACTATCTACAGAAATCTAATAAAATTTCCAGTGTCTAGTACATTCAATTACTCTTATTGTATGAATATATATGTCCACTCTAATATGCAATTATAATTATTGAAAAGGCCTCATCCAAGATGGATCAAGCATTCCCATTCAATTTTTATATAAAAATCGGAAATTTGGAATCAGATGGCTTACTTCCGAGCTGCCTTACCAGAGTCTTACAGTCTGCATTCTAGCCCCATGTACTAAGACTCAGGCATTTTATTGCCTGCCTATGAAGGCCATGATTTGAGCTATATGAAATGCTGCATTGGCTACAGTTTTCTTCCACCATTTTGTGTTGGTTTAAAAAAAACACAAGCAGCTATTTTGTCCCATTCATTCATGGGTATCTACAACAGGCTTCATCAGGTTTCAGCTATTTATTTTGCTGTGAAAGGATAATAAGTGTTCTTAATATTTGACATGATAGATGATAGAGGGTCATAGAGTCATACAGTATGGAAACAGAATCTTAGGCCACCCATATCCATGTCGATCAGCAAACACCAAACTACGCTAATCCTTTATGCCAACTGGAGCATCTAATATTTCCTCTTTGTTAATCTTAACATACTATAGAGCCCCATTTTCCCAACTGAAATTTCCAGCTACAATGTCTTTCTACTTTGTGAATACAGATGAGAAATATTCATTCAGACCTCACCCATATCCTCTGGCTCCATGCACAGATTTCCCCTTTGGTATCTAATGGGACCCACTCTTTCCCTGGTAATCCTTTTGCTGTTAAAGTACTTCTAAAATGCTTTGGTGTTTTCCTTAATCATATCTGCCAAAGATATTTTGTGGCCTCTCTTTGCCCTCCTAATTTCTTTTATAAAGCATCCCCCTACACACTATACTTCTGATGTGCCTCCCCTGTTTTTAATGCTCCGTACTTAACATATGCTTCCTTCTTTTTCTTTGTTAAACTCTCAACATCCCTTAACATCCAAGGTTGCTTGGACTTGTAACCCTTGCCCTTCACTGTTAGAGGAACCCACTGGCCCTGAGCTCTCACTAAAGCACTTTGCAAATGTAGACTTAACTGCAAGTAGTTGCACCCACTCCATGTTTACAGGTCCTAGCGCTGCCCCATCTCTAATAGGACTATTGACATGCTGCTGCAAAAAGCTCTCCTGGGTGCACTTTAAAAATTCCACCCTGTCTAATCCTTTCACACTAAGGCAATCCCAGTTAATGTTCGCAAAGTTAAAATCCCCTACTACTATAATCCTAATCCTCTCTCATCTCTCTGTGATTTGCCTATATATCTGCTGCTGAATCACATTTCACTGGAGGGGAGGTCTGTAATATAATTTCAGTAAAGTGATCGCCCCATTTTTATTTCTCAGCTCCCCCCAGATGTCCTCATTTGAAAAGCCTTCTAAGACATCCTCCTTCATTACTGCAGTATATAAAGTACCATTTTAATTTGAACATTCTGGTTTCAGTTTTTTTTCTGAGTTTAAATTCTTAAAGACATGAAATCAACTGAATAAACAATTGTATAGATTAATTAAGTAATTAAATGATTATTTTTTGGAAGATTAAACATAAAATAAAATATTGATGTTGGAAAGGTTTTCATGTCAAAACAATATTTGTGTACCATGTACTGAGTAAATGATAAAGCATTTTTTTTTACAAAGGAGTTAGTCAGGGAAGTTTTGTCAGTTAACATACTTTGTTTCTTTTTCGTTTATGGAATGTCAGCATAGCTGGCTGTGCCAGCATTTATTGTCCATCTGTAATTGCCTTGAGAAAATAGTGGTGAGCTGCCTTCTTGAAATGCTGCAGTCCCTGAAGTATACACCGCAGAGTCTCATTCCTGCATGATAAGGTCGTCTGTTTTTAAGTTTTATCAGATTTAGCTCAAATGTTGAATGCAGTTTCTGGGAATAATCACCATGCTTCATTGTCATGCTTGATCAAGCTGAACATTAACTTGTTATCTGCCTGTGGATCTACTGTTAAGACAAAAGCATTGATCCAAAGAGGGTAATTTTAAGCCCCAAAACAGATGTTATGGTGAAAGTGAAAAATTTAATATGTTAAAAATCTGAAATAGTAATTCCACCCACCTCACCCCCGGGAGGTGATGGTAGTGTAATGATAATGTTGTTGCACTATCAATCCAGAGGCCCAGGTTAATGTTCTTGGGACCTAGGTTCAAATCCCATTGTGGCAGTTGGTGGAATTTAAATTCAATGAATCGATAAGTTTGGAACTGAAAGCTAGTTACAGTAATAGTGACCATGAAACTATTAACGATTGTCATAAAACAAAACCCAGCTCAGTTGGAAGGAATTCTAACTTAGTCTGCTCTCTAAAATGATTGACTTAATTCAAGGGTAATTAGGGATGGGCAACAAATGGCTTTGCTACGACACCTACATCCAAAAAGAAATTTAAAAGAAAAAACTACTTCTACTTTGAGGGAGAGAGTGACCAGTTCAATCTCAAGGACTCGGACAATCCACCAGTTTAAAAGGAAGCAGTAAGTTCCAGATCCATCAAGTAGGTGCCCTTTTACAGCTCAAGGATCAAGAACATCAGGACTATTTCCTTAAAGTCCACTAATCTGCAAACACTGTCCTGAGAAAACTAAATGTTTTATCAATGTAAAGAAGAGGAGACATTTTGGGTCAGACAATGCATGTTAGGTGTGAGACCTTGTTTAAAATCTGTTTGTCTTTTGGTTTGGAGTCAGACTGGTTTTATTTCTAAAGTACGAATTTATAAAACGCCACATTGACTGACTGTCTATAAATTGTGTGATTTTTGAACAAAATAGAATGTATGTGCAAATACAACTTCACCCCATAGATTCACGTGTGCATGTGTGTGTGAATGTGTGAGAATGAGTGTGTGTGTGTGTGTGTGGACGTGGGAGAGTGTGTGTGTGTGAGAGAGAAATAGAGAGTGTTTGTGT